GTCAGAGTGGAAATCTTCGGGTGTGTGGGGTCTTCCATGTGCTTGCTTCTTTCCCGCTCTGTGGCTTCGGGAGTGAAGGGTTCGGCAGCTTTGTGTTCTTGACATTGGCTTTATCGGAGTACTGGGCAATGAGTAGGTCGGCATTTCAGCATGCGACAGCTCTGGAACCCTTTCGTCCTGAGCCTCCGAAAGGCTTGCAATGAGGTCCAGCTGAACTCATTTGGCTGGGCTTTGAGCACCGAGACCCTAAACCGGAGGTCTGAATGTGCAGACTTGATTGACTTAATACCCTCTGTTGTATCCCGGTTCACTTGTACTAGAGAGAACGTCATGCAAAGATCTGTTCTATGTATTCAAGATCCCACAGTAACCCGCATTTGACGTAGACAGAAACAGGATCTGGAGGCTTTGGGAACTCACCTTGGCCCTGGCGAGGCCGGCAGCGGAAGGCCCTGTTGAGCTGGGAATTTGAGGGTTTCACGAAGTCGGGACTTCGGTGACTCAGAGATTTAATCCTTTAACTTTGGGCTTCGGCTTCAGGGCCCTCAGGGATTAACTAAGGTTCTGGGGATTTGAGGGATGAGGTTTTCAGGCTTCAGGATTTTGGGAAGGCTTATTGCTCGGGCTACTGCATTCAAGGTTGCGTTCCGGACCTCAAAGACGATGCTACTATTTCGGATCTCAGCTAGGGGTCCCTTGTTTCAGGAGCTCCGATGGGCCTTGATTTGGTCGTGCATTTGGGGTTTAGTGTTTGCAAAGCTTCTGGCATACGGTTTCAGAATTCTCCATTCAAGAGCTTGAGTGCGATGGGGCCCGACATGGGCTTAAGGGCTTAAGGCTTAGTGTAGACATCGTCCTGTTGCGATAGTTGTGACAGAGGTTGTTATGGGGCTTGGAAGAGATTAGCAGTTCGGAACCCAACAATTTCGTCAAGGATGTAAGAATTGGGGTGCAGCGAAAGTAGACTATGTGCTACGGATTCCAGGAAAGCTGCCGATGTCGATCTCAAACTCAAACCTTCCAAGAACAATCATTTCTCGAAGTGTCGACCCTGACCCAAACCGGAAGTTGGAACATCGTGCCGGTAAAAACCAAGGTCTGTCCTTCGAACCCTCTTTGCAAAAGAACCTCAGAATGCCTCCGAAGCCGATCGGAATCTGCTGCCGCCGATACCAACTGCAGGCCTCGCACTGTGGAGGGGAACGAATATGCGGGAACGCTAATCTGCAATCATATAACGGCAATCCAGGGGCTTAAACTTAAAGTCATTAATGTGGCAAGCATGTTTTGCAGTAGTCATTAAGTTCCGTGACGCCACGCTAAACCCGTGACGCCACGCTAAACCAAACACTTGGCGGGCATGGTGATGTTGGTCGTGATGGTACTGGCGAAAGTGGTAATGGTGATTCAAGTTGACCCTCAGCTCAGAACCCCCTGAACCCCCAAGCCCCACAACCTTCAACCTCAACCCTGACACCCCCATCGGAGCAATTGAAGTTTCGGAGAATAGCGTGGAGTCTGAGGGTTGAAGATTCCGGGTTCATGGCTAAGGGCTGAGATCCACTAGATCGGGTTTTGCAAGCTTTGTTTGGTTTTATAACGAAGCGCACCAGCACTGATCAGCGAGGCTGTTGTGTGAGGCACCAGAAAGCGCGACCCACATCCTCCGCATGACACCAGGCACCGAAAGCCGTTCGACAGGTTGTGGATTCCCCAAGTTCGAATTTTGCCTCGGATAGAAGCCAACCTGAACGATGTTGCAAGAGCCTGAAGGCCAACGTGTCGATCGGTTTGCACATGTTGTCCCACATCGGTCAACGCTTGAGGGGACACAAGCGTTGTTTTGTGAACTTAACTGGCAGTGTTTCAAGGATACGGGTCCTGCAATGTCGGTGACTGCTCATATATGCGTAATCTGAACTGTGAGCATCCTTACAGAATCCAGCACGTACACGACGAAGACGTGCTCTGATCGCAGCAACCGGGTCCACATTCCTGGCGATCCGTTCTTGCATCCACGGAACATTGATATGAACAGCTCTGCAAGACATGAACCAGGAGTGCTGGTATACTATAAAAGGCCTGGGGAAGACTTGCTGACTGCTGTACTTCAACCCGAACTTTTGAGCGTTCGACGCTGCCGTTTTGGAGGTTGGGGACCTACAGTAGGGTCCTCCCGGAATTTGCGACACGACCGGGTTTGTGCTCTGATCTGCTTTCGGGCAGATCTCCCAACAGCCCATATCTTGAAATCTTCTGCGAAAGAGTGGGCCCCGCATGAACCGCGTATCAGGGCTCAAGATACAGGTATAGGCCAGCTAGGCTTGCGGCTCATTGTTGACGATGCCCATCGCACCTGGGCCACTCAAGCCCTCAACCTGATCTCGCAAATACAAGCCAATCCAATACATGATATGCTCCAGACGCACGTCCTCAATTGAATACCTACACCTCTGGCTAGACTGTGCGGATGCCTATACAGCCCGCTACAAAGCCCTGGATTATATTCTTATGAGGCCCTTTCCACACCGTTTCAAAATCGCACAAAGCATCCCAGACAAACGCAATTCTAAAGTTTGAAGCCCCGCACTGCAAGCCCAATAGGAGCCGCCGATATGCCAATTGAAATTTGCATACGTTTCTGGCGCTTTGGGGTTTGAGGATTATTGAAGTTCGGCGTTCAAGGCTTTGCTTTTTCGGTTCAGGGCTTCAAGGTTTCGGGTATGAAGTTCAGAAACCGATTTTCCTGTTTTATGATAGCTTAGTCTGGAATCCGTTCCCCACTACCGCCGATGGGACGACCGACAGGTACTTTTTTGGAACAACCCCAAGGACCAGAGTTGTCGCCTGAACCATCCGTCGCACAGCCACAGCACTCGCCGTAACAATTGCGTCAAGAGAACTAGTTTCAAAAACTGAAACCGATGACACTACTCCAGGAGCCTTGGATCAGGCAGGGCTGCAAGCGTTGCTGCTCGAAGCATGACGATGAGCTTTGGACTGTGACCGCAGGGCCAAATGGGGGTTTGGTTTGGCGGTTTAGCATTTCGGACCTAAGGTTGAACAACATGCTAACTTGCAGGTTTTGGGTGTAAGGCTCGCTACACTACAATAGTCCTCCAACAACGATTGGGCGCCTGAGGGATCTGTGCACTCCTGGGATGATCGCATCTGACCCGGTCTGCTAGTTACTTACTAGTTCCGAAACTGAACTCGAAAACCAGACTCACAAACCTGACACTCTGCACTCTCAGAGCTGATCTAATCCGAAGATCCCACGCCTAGGCCTTTGCTCTCTTGAGGTTGGCACCGAAGCCCCGCACGCTGCCGTGCCGACGCCTATCGAGCGCCAAGCTTGTCTCTTTCCGGGTTTGGGGTTTGCATGCTGTTGCAGGTACAGCTTCCGGTAGGGAGGATAGGCCTGCCCAGGTGCCTTGACGTCTGAAAGCCTGTTGCTTGGAGTGACACAGACTTTTGGGACACACCTCTCAACAAAATACATCCTCTAAGGGGGAAATCCACAACAGACTCTCGCAAGTATAGGGGTTGCTTTAGGGATTTAGGGTTTAGGGTTTAGGGTTGGGGGACATAATTTCGCACTCCGGGTTTCTGCTTCAGGGTCCCATTGGGCTCTCAACCACTGTAGACCCTCTGCCCATGCTTTTCGATGCAGCAGATACCTATATATCTGTATGCATGCATGTAAGTTTATGCAAGGGTGTGTACCTAGGCCTATACATGAGTCTATGTATCTTTGTATCCACGTACCTATGTATCTATGTATCTATGTATGTACGTATGTAAGCCTTAAAGTTTCCCGGTTCCAAAGCCCCAAACCCCATAACCTAAACCTGGCATGCAGGAGTGAACTAGTGATTTCGCAATAGCTTGTTGCGAGGTTCATGTGGCTTTAGGGCCAGGTGTTGATTTCCGGGGACTCGAGTGCGTATTTCGGTATGAGCTGCATGTTGGGCTATGTGGTGGCCGTCTGATTTTGTCATAGCACGGCTACCGAGATCATTGAGCGGGCTCACATCGGCCTCGGAACGTCTTTTCGGTCGTCGCAGCTCTCTCCCGTGCGTACAGCGGGCAGAGGGGTCTTAATCAAACCGAGATGGACGGGTTCCAAAAATCAACTGAGAAAGCACGACCATGAGTTCACTTGTTTCTGCATCCAAGTGTCTATCCCATCTTGCAGGGAAGTCTTGAACGGTTGGCCGTGGCTCTGAATATCTTATAACATCAGGGCTTCAGATATGTCATTGAAGGCTTCGGTTTGGGCAAACACAAATTACCAGGCAGAATCAGCTGACTTTTGTCACTGTCCATCAGTGAAAAGTCGCTGTTGCGTAGCTTCGCAAAGCAGAATCTCATGAAAATACTGGTGCTGAGTCTTCCAACTACTTACAATGTGAAGGTGATGCCCTCTGATCTATTTTTACTGATAGTATATGCATCATAAAACCCACATACACACTCACTGATGCTCATAAACAGGTCAGTTGTATACACTCACCAGAAGACCAATATGAACCATGCTTCATAAAGTGTGTAATCTGTGATATTGACAAACAACCATGCCCCCAAGCAAAGGGATAAATAGCGGCATCTTTACATGCAAAGGTGTATTTATACTTGTGCCTACACAGGTATTGTCTTGCCTGTGTCAGCTACCTGTATTGCCAGCTGACTATGCGCTGCTTACAGCTTGAACCGAATGTGCCTTTGCGAAATCGCATCGGAAGCGGCCTTCAAACGTTAAAATCTCCACCGATGCCTTTCGAGGCCAACAACCCCTGATGCTATCGGTGGGCTGGAGTGTCCTTACAAATCGAAGTTGAAGGGTCCTTGTAGTGTGTCTAAAGCTGTCAAAACTTGCAGATGGCGAGAGCTTCCGGTTTTGAGGGTTGACGGCGTGACATTTTGAGTCTTAGCAGCTTGGGTTGTGCAGTGCATGAAGCATGAAAAAAAGGAGACACGGCTTATGGCATCTCTGGCCCTCACAGGGCCGCTTGCCCGAAGAAGCCATGGCCGTGGTTGATGGCAGCGAAGTATGCGGCAAAGACGAGGGACACGATGGCCTGCAACTTCATCACGATGTTCAAAGCAGGACCCGAGGTGTCCTGCACAAGGGCGTCCATACTTCGACCAGCATATGCAAAGCTCTCTGACAAAGCTACACAGTCTTGAGAACTCGAGGTTCAGAGCGCAATTTGCACAACCAAAATAGAAACTTGCTGACCGAAGGCATGAATATAAGCAATTATGAGCATGCACTTGACAATGCCATCAACAAAGCCCAAAGAATGGCCTTGAAGGGGTCGCCGACGGTGTCGCCCTGCACCGCAGCGTCGTGGGCCTCCTTGGCCTTTGGCGCAGCCTTGATCTCCTCGGCTGTCTTCGGGTTCTTGGTGTATCGCAGCTCCGGGTCATCGGAGAAGCCGTTCTTGATGAACTTCTTGCCTGGAGACCGTAAATTCTGTGCTTTGTCTTCGGGGGGACTTGTGTTATAGGGGTTTGCCGGAACAATCGGAAAACTATCTACCCCATCTTCTGCCGTGACGACCGGCATACGGTATACTGCCCTTTTCTATACATTCGTGGGGCACCACGCAAGACCTTTCCAACCAGCCCAGTTGCAGTTGTCCCAAGCGCCGCCCGAGTTGGACATGGAGATCGCAAGCTGCACGGAGGAGCCCAAAGAACCTGTGAGGAGGCCGAAGACGGCCTGGACGCCGAAGAAGGTACCAGCCAGGAGTGGCGAGAGGATCACCAGGCAGGCCGGAGCGACCATCTCTACCAAAGAAGCCTGGGTGGAGATTTGGATGCATGTCAACGAGTCTGGCTTCAGCTCTGTGCTTCCGTCCAGCAAGGTCTTGCCTTGGCTGTCCTTGACGCTGAACTGCCTCTTCACTTCGGCTACCATCTCACCTGCGGCCTTGCCGACGGACTTCATGGTGAGGGCGGCAAACCAGTAGGGGATCATGCAGCCGATGATCAGGAAGGCAAAAGTCACTGGCTCCAGGATGTTGACACCAGTCTTCACACGCAGCCGCACAACAAAGGCGCCATAAAGGGCCAGAGAGACCAAAGCGGCGGAGCCGATGGCGAAGCCCTTGCCGATGGCGGCGGTGGTGTTGCCGGCGGCATCCAAGGCGTCCGTGCGACGGCGAACCTCGGGACCGAAAAGTGCCATCTCTGCGATGCCACCCGCGTTGTCCGAGATAGGCCCGAAGCCATCAATGGTGAGGCCACAGGAGAGCGTGGCGAGCATGCCCAAAGCTGCCAAGGCAATGCCGTAGAGGTCGCAGAGCTGAAAGGACACGTAGATGGCCGAGGACAGCACGAAGACAGGAACGATGCAACTCTTGTAGCCCAAGGCCAAGCCCTGGATGATGTTCACAGCAGTGCCGAACTTGCAAGCACTCGCCAGCTCACGAGTGGGAACATAGCTGTGGGAGGTGAAGTACTCCGTGACCAAGCCGATGATAAGACCTCCGACACATCCCATGGTGGCACAAATGAAGCACTTGAACGGGCTGCCGGTGATCTTTGCCTGACGCCCATCCTCGGTCAAGCGCACGCCCTCCAGGCGGAACTCTGCCGGCAGCAAGAACACCGCGAGGTAGTAGATTACGGGAAGCATCAAGAAAGCGGTGAGCACCATCTGTACCTTCAGCACGAATTCGATGTCGGGCTCGTCCTTGACAGGGGAGATGTTGGTAGCCACAAACCCGCAGAGGATGCAGATCACAATGCCAGCAGCGGAGATAGCCAAGGGGAAGAGCATGGCATCCCAGCCAGCATCTGCCAGCGTGTGGTGCGAACCTTCCACGGCTGCTGCAGCGATGACCAATGCTGCACAAGTGCTCTCGGCGAAGGAGCCGAAAAGGTCTGCGCCCATGCCGGCAATGTCACCCACGTTGTCGCCCACGTTGTCCGCAATGGTGGCGGGGTTGTTGGGATCGTCCTCGTCCAGGCCGGCCACGACTTTGCCGACGAGGTCCGCACCAACATCTGCGGCCTTCGTGTAGATGCCACCACCGACGCGGCCGAACATGGCCACGGTGCTGCCGCCGAGGCCATAACCCGCTGCACAGTCGAAGAGGATCTCCCAGTCATCAGCCTCCGGATAGATGGTGCGGTAGAAGCTCAAGAGCATCCACAGGATCAGCACTCCCAGGGAGCAGAGCGCATAGCCCATGACGCTGCCACCCCGAAAGGCGGTGTTGAAGCCAAGGGTGTAGCCGCTGTAGGCACAGGCAAGAGTGGTGCGCGCATTGGAGTAAGTGGCGACCATCATGCCAAGGAAGCCGCAAAGCATCGATGTGAAGGCTCCTGTGAGGAAGGCTCCCGCGGTCAGGTGTCCCTGCAACGTGTCCTTCGTGCCCCAAGAAACCAAAGCACTAATAAGGAAAGCGAAGACGACGCAGAAGGCGGTACAAATGGCATACTCCACCTTGAGGAACTGAATTGCGCCCGTCATGATCTTTTCGTAGATCTCGGGTACCAACTTCGCTGCCTGCTCACTGCCACCTGCTGTGAGCCCTGTGCTGAGGCTGTCCTTCCCATCCGGCGTGAGCTTGATGCGCCTGGAACAAAAGAAACCGCCAAGGAATGACGTGTTGCCCACCTCCATGTACACACACACACACACACTCCCTCACTCACTCACTCACTCACTCACTCACTCACTCACTCACTCACTCACACTCTCTCTCTCTCTCTCTCTCTCTATATATATATATATATATATAACACATGTCTATGCTACCCTTGGGCCTGCCCTTCATGATCTAAGAAATCCGTTCATGTTGCTGTTCTGCAAACATACATGCATAAACAACAGTACTGCAAGCAGGAGTACATGTTGCTAGACACCTCCCCTGTGCGAAGCCCCGGATAGAGGTCCCCAAGCGAATCCTGATGACCAAGAACTGCGCAACGGCCGCCACCAGCCCAAGCAGACAGCAGGGAACTATGATTTGATCGATGAGTTCCATGGCTGAAGCAGCTTTCTGTGCGAAGGTGTCGATGCTTTCGCTCGTGAGCCAAAACTTAAAGAGCAAAAGAAACAAGAAATTTTGCCGATTGCTCACACCTGGAAGGCACAAGAATGCAATGACTCTATATGGCTTTGGTATGTGTGAAACCCAAGTTCCAGATTAAACTGCGCAACCCATGCGTAGTTCTGAAACTGGAAATTGGCAGTCCCAGTTCTGCAGGAGTGACTTGCTCTTCTTCGGGACAGCCAAGCATGCTTGCTCAAGCTTGGAAGGAACTCCCGTACAAGAAGGTCTCATCTAGATTCGATACCGAGAGATCGATTCGGCCAGTCGGCCCTTCCCTCTGCTTTCGTCTGTATGCGAAAAAGGTTGCTCAGAACAGGACAGGGCCAAGGTATGTTACGTGGTCGTCGCAACCGTTCAACACGATCCAGTCGTTTTGACTCTTAGGCTGGCAGCATGCAACCGACTGTTTTCAGAAAAGCGCCAGGACCCCAGGACCGAGACCACCAACAAACCAGGGCCAAAGTGCTTTGCCCCGCATGGCGATTCTGGCTAAAAGTACTGGCGCCAAGTATGTCCCCAGTGCCAAGTATTTGTGCAATCCTCAAGTCGGCCAAAGTCTTGGCCCCAAGTAGAGATTGAAGGACATTCAGACACGTGGCCAGAATGCTTTCTCTCAAATGCTGGCTAATTCAAGACCGCAACTTGTCCCCACGTATCGGCACGAATCAGGAGCACGGCGCCTATGCTCCCCCGTATACCTCCGGGATTCCGGAGAACTGCCGAAGTCCTCTTTCCCAACAATACTGCTTGGGTAGCTTTCCGAGACAAACAAAGACCTGCGTGTTGTAATTCTCAATGAAGAACCTGGGTATCCACAGGATGCTGCTGCACGGTTTCTCTCGAAATCACGGACGCGAACGCAAAGTGCAAACTGTTTGGGGAACAGTCTCCTGCATGCACTGAAAATCCGCAATCACTTCCCGAATCTTTCAACCACACACCGTCTGCGAAGTGTATGTGCAGACTTGTTGTGCTTCTACTCTTCCCCGCCGCTACAATACCCGAAACTCAACCCACACTCCCAAACTTCTGAACCTTGTGACCCTTGCAACCCTTAGGCTTTGGTTAGCACACTTTAAACCTGCAACTCGGAATCGTGAATCTCTAAAGCCTTAGCCAAGAGATCCCGAGGACAGCGTCTTTCGACTCTCGGCTGGCAGCGAATCCATCGCGTTGCAGGCATGCATGGGGATTGTTCTGAACGTTTTCCTATGCGGAGCTTTTTCTATACCCTATATGTACAGAGGAAACAATCCGAACTCTGCAATCACCCCTCATGACTCGAAGTTGCTTTGTCAAAAGGTACACTCCCTTAAACCCCTTGAAAGCCCTCATATCGCGCAATCCCCCGAGCCCGAGCACATGGACGAATTACTCCGCATCTTCTGCGGGGGCCGTCAGAAGGGGCGAGGAGTGCAAAGGCGACGGGGCTGGCGCCGCGCCGCCACCTGAAAGGATGCTTTCTGTTTTGGAGCCGGGGTGTCGGTTTCCGGGTTGGGTTCCCGCTGGAGGCTTTATATGCTTCGGGTTGGGTTTGAGGAATTGATGGAGATTTAGAACCCGGATTGACACCACCCATCCCATGAAAAGAATGAGAATAGGCATCCTACAGTAAGAAAAAGAACGGTTCTCAATCAGAGATCTCCATTATGTCAAGGGGTTGGCCAAAAGCTTCTGTTCAAGGTGCCGCCCTACGAGTCCTACATGATTAGTTTTTGCAAGGTTCATGGGATGCACATTAGCATAATCAAAAGGGGGCAAAGGTGGTACCACGACGAATTATTCAGACCTCTGCACTACTTATTAGAGGGATGAAGGAGAAACGACTTTTTCGTAGGGTCGCGCAGCCGGCTACGAGTACAAGCATTTCCAAGTCTGCTCTGCAGCATTCCATGGCTACAAGGTGAGCTTCCTCCCGTTGAGCTCACTTTCAAGAAGCAGTATTGCAATCTCAAAAGCTTAGGATGTTGAGTAGTTCGAGGGCTTGTAGGCTCAGTTGTAACTTTGGACAACGGCTGTGGTTTTCGGAGCATAGGGTAGTTGTCTCGAAACAGGCCCGAAACCCCACTCACACTTATGGTTCGTGGGCGAAGCGCAGAATTTCATTCCATTTCCCCGCCTGGCGAAGAAACGACGTAGCTTAGGAGAGCTAGCTTCTGGAAGCTATAGACTACAGGCCCGAACGTACTGGAACCGAGGTAGAGCTTGAAATTCCCAACTACTCCTCTTTCTGCATTCCGACGGCCTTCAACATCTGCGTCGCTCGAAGGAGGTGGCCGGATCCTTCCAAGAGGCCCAGGGCTTTGGGGATTCAGTCCGCTTAGGCTTTGCGGTGTTCAAAACTCGTGACCATTAATCGTGTTCCCATACTCCCATACCTTAAAGCATTTCGACCCGAAGCTTTTAGATCCTGAGTGCGAGTAAGCTACTTTCACCAGGCTTGAGCGTGAGACTTACCATCCATTGAGCCAAGGTGCACCGGGCTTCTGGCATCCTCCCCTCTTTCCGACATCTCCGACATGGCGGGTTCGGCCTCAGACCAGGCTGCGGCATATGAGCTGTCGGGCGCAGATTGGAGTTCGGGTTACGAAGCTTGGTTGGGAGTGGACTTTGGGAACATAGATTTGGCGGTTTCGGATGATTCTTCGAAGTTAAGCTGAACGCAAGTCGGCATGCCCAGGTTGCCAGTGTGGGTTGCTAGGTTTCATACCGGCATTTTTGAAGCCATAGCCAAGGGCTCCAATTCCGAGCTGCTGTATGTAGGTTGCATAAGATCGGCATCTTTGGAGGTCCCATACCGTGTTTTTTGACTAAATCTTGAACATCGAGTTTCGCGTTTCTTTCAGGAGCTGCGTGGCATTAAAGCACCTCTAGGCGATCAGAAGCTTGCAGCTGCAGAGGATCAGACTTTGCCAAAGGTTTCTGATTGTTGAGATGCAGTAACCAGCTTGGGCTCTGGCGGTTGGTATCTGGGAGTTTCCGAAAATGGGGGGGTCCTTATTTTGGGGACGTTCTAATAAGGACACTACATTAGGGTCCTCTGGTATCCCTAAGCGGAGCCTGGCTTTTCTGTCGAAAGTCGCGGCAACAAACATTGCCACTTGTGACAATCAAGAGCCTAATAAAAGCATGGAAGGGCACATGGTACCCTATAGTCCTCCATAAATGTCTAGCTCCTAAACCCACGCCTCCGAGCCTCTGAAGGCTGCGTGCCTGCAACATCCAAGCCTCGAAGTCGAATTATAAGCCGGCAGAAATGCGCCTCCTGCGAGCCTCTCAACCTCCAAGCCTCCAAGGCTACAGGCCTCGAAGCGCCGCATATCTCGCGCGAATGTCAAATGCAGGAAAGGAGCTCTTGGACGCCACGTCTTCATGCGCCGAGGTGACTTTAAATGCTTGTGTAGGTGTTTCGAGGCCCTTCTACGAGATGGACGATGCTGGCGAGACCCGTCCTCCCCTCGATGGACATTTGGCTCAGCTCCCAGCTAGCTCTGTATCAGCACGCCCGGCCACAGGGGAGAACTCGCTGCGTTCCTCGGCATGGGTCTCTTGGTGAGACATGATTCGGTGCCTGTTTTTGATACCCGCACTACCAAGAGAGGTGTTTGCAAAATAAGCTTCTGCGAGCCTACGCGCTCCACCAACAGTGATTGCAGTTCAACATGAGGCTTGCAGACGTGCTTTTTCAGTGCGGCATCGATCTACGGTCTATGGTCCACGGATCCTTGTCAAAGCTCTCTGACAAAGTACTCCGTTGCCACGGCTGGAGCCCGCAAAGAGGCCTGAATCTTGTTGTCAAAATTGATGGCGAAGATGTTTTTTGCCTGCTCCGCGTCTTCACTATTTGGCTCTGGATAATCATCACCGTCCTCGGCAAGCAAGAGGTAGTAGTCCCATGGCCCGTGGCAGTCACGCCCCAGCTTCGTGTGATCTACAGTGCGTGCATAAGAGAAGCCTCCTCCGTAAGCAGTGTCCAGAGCACCCGCATAATCATCTCGCATAGTGTCCAGCATCCCTTCAGGCCGTGCGCACACTGAGTGTCCATTGTTCACAAGCCTCTCGTTTTCCAAAAACAAGGGGACACAAGATCCAACACACTGCAGACTTTGTACAAGAGCTTAATGAAACGAGCAAAAAGATTCTGCTTGTCGAGTGAGTAGCCCGTTGACTAGCACGAACTGCCCGTATCCTACCTCCGGAGCTCTCGAATGCACTAGCACCTTTTGCATAACTTTCTGAGGCACGACCTTGGAAGCGGTGCTGGTGGTCAGGAGATTCTGCGCTGCATACTCCATCAATTGATTGCGAAGCGTCATGTATGCTTTCATGTCAAACTGCTCCAGGTTCACTTGAGGCACCTGCCCCTAAGCCATCGATTCCTTAACTTCTGCTTGTGACGGAACTCCTGGAAGTGCCATTGCACTGGCGACCAGCGCCCTGGGGAAACTTGTCATTGTACGATTTGGCATATCCTCCAGGCCGATGAAGAAGGGAATGCTGCCCGACATGATTATCTCGTAGTGGCGAAAACAATCCCAACCCATCTTTCGCATCGTGATGCCAAAAAGACCCTTGCTGTACTGCTTGTAATACGCGTACTCCGTGTTGTAGATGTATGTTCTTGTGTTGCCAGGAATCAGGGGGGCAAACATGGTCGTCTTCGCGCCATCACGGCGCAAGCTGCTGGTGTTCCTCCACTTCTCTGGCGCGATGCCGAACGATATACTGTGGCTCGCGTCTTAAGAGAAGACTCTTATGAGCTATGCACAACGACTCCTTCAACAGGGGACCTTATAGTTTTGGAAAATTAGGGACCAAGCTCTGGAAATCCTTACTACTTTGACAAGACACACACGCCTAGCTGATTGGGTGGCGCTGAATGGACAAGACTACATATACACATGAGGGCCGAGTCCCAGCAGTTTACCATCCGCGCGGAACGAGGACCTATGTGAGCCCGTGCTGGCCACTGCGTGAAGACATCCCAATAAAGAACGAAATTTGCGTTCTCTAAAATTCTCTTGGACTTCAAAGAATTATGAACGGCATAGACAGTACAGACTGCCAAACTCACTGCAGCAGTCGAAAGTAAACACCGAGTATGCGAGTATTCCGTAAGATACGCTTCTCTTCGCATGTGGTTTAAACGTCAAGCAACATGTGGTTTAAACGTCAAGCAACATGCTGTAACCCATGGCTGACAACTTTAGCGAATTCTTTCTTAGAGCCTGCATTTCTTGCAACCCCCACACTCAAGCTGAAGCAGATTAAACCCCACAAAATTTGGCAACCGCAAAATGATTCCATTCATCCCACATTCTAGATACTTTGTGGCGCGTTAAGCCCTGAAGCCCACAAGCCAGGCGCCTCCGGCGGGACGTCCTTCGACGACTCATGTGTAAGGCTGCAGCAAATTGGTGTCTTTTTGACCCAGCCGCGGCTTTGCCGTGCAAGGAGCTTATCAGACTGGACCTCCAACAGAAGTGCGTTGAACTCTGACAAAACACTACACACGGTACTTTCGACGGCTCTTCTAAAGTTTTTACACGGCCTGCAGGAGAGCTGAGTCGGCTGACTCCAAGACAGCAGACTGGACCTGCGAAAGAAGGGCGAGGGCGAGCATGCTGAAGAAACGGGTCATCCGCATTGCAGCCATGCACGGCGACAGTCGAGGGTCTACGGTCTCGGAAGGTGGCTAAGCTTGTTCTGTAGCCAGCGCCTCAACAACGAAAACGGCCTCAAGGATCAACTCTATGTGTGTCTGCGTTCACTTTCCACGTTCCTGTTCCGCATTCTAACGCTGCGTTCCAAGCCTGGCCACGAGCAGGACTTGGCGCGACACTCTGATTCCCGTGTAAAGGCCTTGTGAGGGCAAACAGAAGCATGCAAGGCAGCGGATTGGACTGTCCTATAGAATTCCCTACGCCTTCGACTATGCCCGAGTCCCTGAATGCAACTGAAGGAAATGAAGAAATGATGCCGATTCATTTCAAGACCTGGATCTATGACATATTCTATCCATAGACCTTACACCCTCAACTTGGGGGGAAGAATGGGAACCCTAAACCCTAGACCTTAACCGCTTCAAACCTTGCATCTCGTTCTGGCAAACCGCTTTGGGCCTTCCACTCTGGGACCTGCAGCGGTGCAGGATTCGAAAAGGGCAACCCTCTTCAATCGTCTAACACCTGAACCGCAAACCGTAACACCCTTAACCAAAAAACCCAAAATCCGTGAGGGGAATAGAAACTGAGGCTTTCAGCGCTCAAGACGTCCTTCTGGAGCTGACGGGACTGCATCCGGTCTTAAAGCTAAGCCTCCTTCTCACTGGCACTACCACTACCACTACAGGGTTTCGGGTTTAGGGGGCACTACAACGGGGTCTGCTGTTTCGGAAGCCTTTCAGAAACACCAAGATTCATTCGCTGCCTACTGAGCAAAGATCTGAGCCGACTTCGACAGATGGCTCCACCTTCTCTGTAAGTTCACGTTGTCCTGGTAACTGCTCAATCTGTAGGCTGTTGTCCACTCACGTCTGTTTGAGAATGACGGAAGTCAACAGAACTCTAAAGCGCTGAACCTTTAAGAATCTCAAAGCCAAGACGTCAAGAATTGAAGCCACAAGCCCCGAGACCCACAGGCATCGAACCCTGCAGCCCTGAGTCGTTGCGCAGCAATAACGGGGTGATGTACTGCCTGTCCAGCTGCACAAACCTTAGTGCTCGAATCTTCAAGACTTGAGATCTCCTGGTCCCCGAAAATAGAACCCTCTCTTACAGAACCATAATACCAACAGGCTAGAAGCTAGAAGAGCTAGAATCGCGATTCACTAAACCACGAAGCACTACAGTTGCGCACTACAACCCGAATCAATATACTACAAACCGAACCATGAAGGAATGCTGCAAGGATCCCGCGTCCTTGGGAGCAGACAGGGTTAACGACCTCCGGGTCCAACTCGGGTTTTCGCCCAATCCGCGGAAGGCAAGTGAAGCTTAATGGCTGAGAAGTGCTTCCTGACTCCAGCCCCCTGCGTGAGTTATGGTTTAACTGTCTAGAAGTGGGCCTTGGGTTTGGCAAGGCTAGATCGACTCACATCGCAACAAGGTGCTGACAGTGTCAGCACCTGGGGCTTGGGGCTACTTGTCGCCGAGCTGCGCCAAGCGTTTCACGGCCTGCATGACCGCCGTACCCAAAAGCCCTAAACTCAACACTGCTAGTTATCCCCAAACTGTTCGAAGGACGCGTTGGAAGCGCATCTTCGACTGCCACTGGCAGATGCCCAAGAAAGAAATCGCCAAACCCCAGAGCCTGACACTTTACCAATACAGCGAAAAAAAAGCAACATAAGCGAAGACAACTGCACCCGTATACACCGAGATCGTCAGACGAGAAAACCACATAAATGCAGATACAGATATAGATGCCGAGATAGGCTGTATAAAAACAGATGACAAAGCAGATAAGGATGCAGATAGACACAGCCATAGACACTATAGAGATAAATGCAGAAAGAAAGATAGATAGACTGACAGATAAAAACCTGGAAAGACAGATAGATAAATAGATAGATACCGAGATACAAAAAGACAGATATGCAGCTGGACAGCTACAGGAACAGACAGACAGACCGACAGACAGACAGACAGACAGAAAGACAAACAAACAGACCGATCGACAGTTGAAGAACACTTGCACACACACACAGACACACACAGAGACACACACACACAAACACACACACACACACAAACACACACACACACACACAAACACACACACACACACACACACACACACACACGCACACACAGAAAGCCAGCTACGCATAGACCGATGTGTGTATATGTGTATCTATCAATCCAGATGCGCTGCACGTACTCATGCATGCCACTTTGTTGGCTGATGAATGAACTCAGGCATGCTTGCATGCATGCATGCTCGTATGTGTATGATATATACACACATACATGTAGCACAATTGAGTTTAATTGGCTATTTACTTACACGCTCATACGGAAACGACAGGTAGGTTCCAATTACAAAGACTTGTCGCTGCGGGGTAAACCTTGAACATAAAAATCTAAAGGTGCAACATAGGGCGATCGAACTGAGAGTCCGTTCAGATTGAGGCCACACGAAGCACCTAAACAAGCCCGTCATCAGCACCCTAAGACCGTGAACACCCTAAACCCAAAGCCCCCGGTGATCGCTCTCAGCCCCGGCCGGTTCCAGCGTGAGCGCAAGCTGTTTCAGCTGATCGCCATGACCTCTGATATTGTCCGTCTTGCGGTCTGACACAGATCGGTTCAGGAATGAAGTGTCAGTGTTCCCGGCATAGGTTTTAGAGCCGTTGGGAACCTGACACGCGGTCTAGACTCCACAGTTTCCAGCCACCGTCTAGCCATCAGGGTTAACCCTGCAATGTAAATCCTGAAGCATCAGAGCCTAAACCCTACTGTAAACCCCGTCTACACCCTTTAAAACCTTATTTACACCCTTTATAAACCCTTACTATTACAGGCTCTTGTCTAGACCCGTGTATAGACCCTTATGAATCCTTAGGACCGTGGCCCGGGCATCGCCGGATCCTCAGCGCCCCAAGCACAGGCGCTGTCGCTCCCCCCAGCAGCCAGACCGAGGTCAGCACCTCACCGCTTCGGGCTTTCGCTGGTTTAGGGTTTAGGGTTTACGGTTTAGGGGTTTAGGGTTTAGGGAAAAATCTGGTGGGTTTGAAATTGCGATGCTTCTCTGTCTCTGGTTATAAGCTAAGCTGGGATGAGCGAAGATTAGGATCCTGAGGAGCGGGGTAGAATAAGCCCTCTCAAAGGTTGCTTCAACTTTGGGTCGAAGGTCAGAAACTCGGCATCTGTTGAAATAGCAATAAGAGATTGGACTGTGGTTTCCAGGTTAAGGGTTTAAGTTCAATGCGAACTGGATACTTGCCGAACAACTGGTTTTGACGTACGACGTCTTCGGCTGTCTCTGGAACCTTTTCTGGAGCTAGGGGCTTGGAAATCTGCTAGCCTTCAACGATACCGTATAGGCCTAAAGCCGAAGCCTCTTCGGCGGCTTCGGGAGCTTGGCAGTATCGAGGCCGAGGCGGTTTGGGAGTGAGGGGATTTCGGGTTCTAGGGTTTAGGAGTTTAGTGTCTGGGCACTGTGCTAGTCGTACGGGGTGCAGAAGTGGGTTTCATGGGCTCGGGGCTACAAGGGGAGGCGGGGACCGAAGGTAAATGGAGTGTGCGCCAGTTCCCCAAACCATATACCTACCACAGCAAGCCGCAGTTCGCAAACGTGCACCAGCATCCACACAAGCCTGTTCGAAGGAGATTCTTGTACATGTCACTTCATGCATGTTCTGTACTTTAGAGAGCTCTTGTGTGACAGGGATACCACTAGATTGAAGGGACCCAATCCTCAACCCAATCCTCAGCCGCTAGAAATCCTTGCCGCGAATTCTGAGCCTGAAACGCGAGACCTTGCACCTTTCGACACCACGCCCAGAATCCAATGCTGTCAGAGCCAACAACGTACCGAGAGTGGTCGTCTGCGACCTCTTCGGAGGGATAGCCCCAAGGAACTCTCAAAGCAATGCCCTGAGCCTTCCGTCGCACACCCTCGACCCTGGACATCGACAGCTCTGTGACTGAACTCTTTCGCATAGATCCTGAAACCACTTCATTTCGACGTGAGAAAGCCATTAGTTAAAGAAGAGCCCGGAACCCTAAAGCCAGCCATGAACCCTTTCAAACCCCAAAGCACAGACACGCCAAGCCAAACCCTAGGCCATCAACAGACCCAACACTCCAAAAGCGGAGACTCTAAAACCATCTAAACCGCAAGGCTCGAAACGCTTGAAGCCTGAAGCGCGAGATACACCCGACAGGCAGAAACTCTGAACAACCCTGATCTTACTCTACCCCCCCAACCCCCCCCCCCCATGTTGAGACGCGCTACGACCCACATTGCCAGGGCCATGAAGCAGTGGCGATGGGGACCCGGGAACCTCATACTGAAGTCAGGCATTGTGTGTGTGTGTGTTTCATTGTTACCCAGTAGATTATGGTCCCGCGCACACACACATGTGTATGTATGTACGTATGTATGCCATGCATGTATACTCACTGAATGTTTTATCCACACATACTATGTGCAGCTACAGATTGTCATTGCACGCCGCTCTTCCTGAATTGATTTATTTCGGCTTAGAGGGTCTTGGGCTTGTTGGCCGGGTTTGATTCTTTTCCTCAGGCTCCCTGGGTTGAGGGGGCCCTGCGCCGTAGGGCTTGCGAAGCGTGAAGCCCAAGACCCCAGAGCCTCAAAGGTCGCAGGCGCGCAAAAAACCTGGAGACTTAACGCATGCGAGATGCTTTTCGCTCGGGTTTTGGGCACTTTGTGTTCGGAACTCGTTGGCTAAGCTGACAACCAGAGAATTGGAAAGCATAGGTTAGTGTCGAAACATCAACGAAAACCGCTGTGTGCACCTACGATGACATTTCGCCCAAAACTCTGAAAATCAGAACAGCAGGACGAATCATGAAATGCCAGCCATAGCCTGGATGAAATCTTGCATAAGCGGCAGCTGGTGCCTTCACACGAACTCAGAGGGGTGTCTAAAGAGATCTGGATTGGCCTCGCATGGGAAGACGAGGGAAGCGGACGTCTGCCAGTCTATGCTCTTAGCCCCAGCCGTATGATGTAACATGCGCCGTTGGCTTTTTGAGCGGAAGAGGTATGGGCTCTGAGGTAAGGACGAGGTCTGTGTGGACGTTATCCAGTTGGCCCATGGATGCTCACGGTTGACCTACAGATGCTATGGGGAACGGATTTTGGACCGGGGCACGGTGAGGTCTGGATGGACGTTATCTTGGTTTTGGCCCATGGACGCTCTGCATGAACGGATGCGGGATGGATGGGATAACGTGACGGTTGACCCATGGATGCTCTGGGGAAAGGATGAGGCCTGGCCCATGGATATCCATGGATGCTCTGGGGAATGGATGAGCCCTAGGTGGAGGTTAATTATCATGGTTGACCCATGGATGATGTCGGGGACGGATGATGTCTGGGTGGGCGTTATCATGGTTTGGCCCATTGAAGCGAGGGAACGGACGACATCTTGATGGACGTTCTCATGGCTTTGGCCCATGGGTGCACTGAAAACGGATGAGGTCTGGGTGCACGTTATGATGGTTTTGGCCCACGGATGCTCTGCGGAACGGATGAGGTCCGGGTAAAGTTATATGGTCTTCCCATAGATGCTCCTGGGCAAGCAGGAAACGACCAGGTTTTTGGCGTGCCTGCTTCCGCCTCAAACCCCGAAACCTGACAAGGCTTGACTTGTGGTTTCACCACGCTTTATGGCGACTTTGTAGTCAGTGCGAAGTTTGGGGTCTTGTGAAACTCGGGTTCAGGCTGAGGTTACCCTGGCCAACCAGAGCCGACATCTGTGGGATTTTAGTGCAATCGCTGGTCTGAGGATCCGTCACAGATCCTAAACTCCAGAACTTGCATGCAGTGGGCTCAGACTAATTAGAGGCCTATAGGGGGCCGCATGCCTGGACCCAAAATCCTCCACTCAACGCCAGCAAAGACGATCCGAGACTCCTAGACCCCCAATTAAAGACTTAAAGCTTCCTATCTCCATGAACGCCGGGGAAGCTGAGTGGACAGGGCAAAGGCGATGGCACCCCGCAAACCGGCGAACCACACCTGCGGCGCCGAGATTTGCATTCAGGGTTGTGGGGTTTCGCATAAGACTGTTAGGGTTGAGGGTTGTGGTATGTAGGTTCTTTTGCTCTTATATATCGGGCTTTAAGGTCGGGGTTTGGGCTTGCGGGGCTCTTCTCATCTCCAAAAAGGGTTTGCCTTAACAGCCTTAGATTCGGATTCTAGCAGGCCAGGCTAGGGTATTGTGTTCTGAAGTTCTGAGGTTCCTCTCTGCCGTTGACCACGCTATAACGAACCAAGGCTATATAGACTATACAATCCAGATCCTGAGCCGAAAAAATCGTACACGCAATGTTTTGGCGTGGCCGGACTGGTCAAGTACATCTCGTGGCCCGAACCAGAAACACAGAATTCAAACTCTCGTTGCCCAATACTGCCCACGATCCCACAACTCAAATCAGCTCAGGAACCATGTGCATGTCATTGGCTTCGAAGCGCCGCCGTGGATAGCTCGGTTCCCGCGAATTCCTTATAGACAGCACAAAGGATGTGAGGAGGGTTCAATTATAGGTCTCAAAAACAAAAAACAGCTAGCTCCATTCCCTCGTAAGTCCAACAATGCAACACAATGTACGACACGCCCGTACATGAGATCATCGCGTTCCACAGCTGCATCTCTCCATAATATCACCCGTGCACCCACTAAAGCTTGCTTTCGCTCGTCGGCAGCGTGCCCTAGTTCGCCAAATATCAACACCCTCCATGTAAACGAATCCAAAGGCCGAAGACTCAGTAGCCAGCCCGACACGTACACATTCGCCGCACGCGCCACAAGGCAGGCGAAGAGCACCCAGCTCAGGAGCCTGATCGACGCAACGATTCGGCGAGGGCGTGGGACAGAGGATGGGGCCTCTGCCGAGGGTTAGCGGCGCTGGGTGTAACGAGTTTCCGAAACAGTATACACTGAAGTCAACACAGCTCACAAGGGCAGCGAGGATTGCAGGCAGGCTAGTGGCAACCTCGCATGAATGACCCCGAACCCCTTTCTCATGACACCGATAGCGACCCGAAAATGCCAGCTCTTACAACAGAACGGAGTTCACTATCGTTACTATGGTGGGTCCAGGGCTTACACAGTTTGGAAAGTCGCTCGGTCTGCTTAGGGTTGGGGTTTGCACTCAAAGCTTTATAGAATGCATGTGCTGGGAGTTCTGAACTGATTCTGCAACCATGATGCTTTGCGTTCACCAAGGTTGCCGACTTAGGACTCAAACCAAGCACACTAAACCCGCACCCCCTAATTCAAACCCAGAGCACCAAATCCTCAACCCCCACACCACACCCCAAACCGAAACCACCAAATCCTATAACCCCCGAAACCTCGAAGCCCAACACCACAAAACCCCTTAAATCCCGAAATCCTACTAGTAGAGCCACAAGCCCCATACAAGCGAAAACCCCAAACTCCTCACACCTTCAACCCTAACGTTCTTTGGGGCTCCCCGCGCTAGATCGGCCCCGAGGCTGCCCCAGGCAGAGGTGCCCAGATCAATGAAGATCAGCGTCCTTTGCAGCTGTGGGGTCTCTTGGGGTCTTTTGGAGTCTTTAGAGTTTTGGTCCTCCGGTAGCCCTGAAATCCTTGCAGTTAGAGTGGATTCTGGGTTTGGGGGATTCATAAGTTAGTCTTTAGAATTTAAGGCTGAACGGTCGGGCGTAGTTCTTCGGGTTTCGTGCATGGGGTCAACAGCTGTAGGATCTAGAGCATTCCTCTGATGATGGAACTTGATAGAACTACCAACCCTGCACAGCACTTACACAGAAATCACCACAATCCCCAAGTCCTTGCCTCGTAGAACCTGAACTCTACACTCAATACCCACACTCCGACATCCATGGCACAGATATCCCAACCAGGCAACCCTACAAGCCTGTGTCATTATCACCAGACATCGCCCGTGCCCATTGACTGTATTGCCATGGGGTTCCACTTCTAGCTCCATGGTGGCTAAATTTCCTGAAGCACCCAAAAGCAACCAACGCAGCCCTTGCTGGTTCACCTACATTACGCCTCCACCAAAAGCAACTGAAAATCACCTTTGCCACCAGCGTCACAACCACGAAAGCCAATCCCTACAACTGTCATGGCCAAGACAGGAAAGTACCGTCACAAGCAGCATTCGAAGCCTTGCCTTGCTATTCGGTTCATCTCACGATGATCCGCAGCATCAACTTCACGACACATATCAGAGCACCACCATGGTCATCCTTCTCCTCATGACCTCCTGAATTGTGACCACCGTCCCCCTCACCAATATGTGGTCATCAACCTCACCCTCACAACTTTCATCATGAGCATCGGGACCGGGGCTGCACCAGAAGAACATGTTCCGCCACCCAGCACCAGCACCCGCCACCCACAGCCAACCACCACTATCACCACTACCACCACCACACCGCACCTCGTCGGCAAGATCCTAGTGATGACAAACGCTGTGATAACACGAGCAAGAGTGAGTTCGAGGGACAACTAGTCAGAGGAGTTTGGGACCGCTGCCATAATCCAGAACAGCCACACAACCCTAACAAACCGGCATTGATTCCAACCATGGTCCGAACTCCGAACAGCCTGTCGAAATAAACAAAAACCTTCCCCACACCGAGTAGCTCTGCACAACTTGCCATCATGGAGACCACCGTGGCCACCGTCTCGCGAGCCGACTGCGACAAATTGAAATAAGTGTACCTGGTGGCTCGCGCGCTTAGGGTCCGAGGTGGGGGTCCAAGAGTTTTGGGTTCGGCATTTTGATGCTAGGTGGTTTTGGGGTTCTGGAGTTTGTGGGTTGGCATAGCATGTATGCATTGCAGCCTTGATGTACTGCTATGTTAATTCAAGTGCTCACAAATTGTAACTGCTCACAGCACTGAGGCGATGCTAATGCTGGGGCAGGTAAGGATGATGATGCTGCTGATGGTGGTAGTGCTGGCGATGGTGGCGGCGGCGGTGGTGGTGGCACTCCAAAAGCGGTATCGATAATGTCCGTCATCGATGCTACTCATTGCTGCACATCTTGCATATGTCGTAGTTATTGTTGCTGTCCTCCTGCTCGTGCCTCCTAACTCTGGCACTCCTACCACTACTAATTGTCACTCCTGCCACTACTACTGCTGCCGCTACTACTACTATTATCTACTACTATCTACTACTCGTACTGCTGCTACTAGTACTACTACTACTACTACTACTACTACTACTACTACTACTACTACTACTACTACTACTACTACTACTACTACTACTTCTACTAATACTACTAGTACTACCAGTACTACCAGTAGTACTCGTAGTACTGCAGTGCTAGTAGTACTAGTAGTACTCGTAGTTCCAGTAGTACTAGTAGTACTAGCAGTACTAGCAGTACTGGTAGTAGTAGTAGTACTACTACTAGTACTACTAGTACTACCAGTACTACCAGTAGTACTCGTAGTACTGCAGTGCTAGTAGTACTAGTAGTACTCGTAGTTCCAGTAGTACTAGTAGTACTAGCAGTACTAGCAGTACTGGTAGTAGTAGTAGTACTACTACTAGTACTACTACTACTACTTTTGCTACTACTACTACTACTGCTACTACTACTACTACTACTAGTACTACTACTTCTACTACTAGTACTACTAGCGGTGAGCACCATCTGCACCTTCAGCACGAATTCGATGTCGGGCTCGTCCTTGACAGGGGAGATGTTGGTAGCCACAAACCCGCAAAGGATGCAGATCACAATGCCAGCAGCGGAGATAGCCAAGAAGGGGAAGAGCATGGCATCCCAGCCAGCATCTGCCAGCGTGTGGTGCGAACCTTCCACGGCTGCTGCAGCGATGACCAATGCTGCACAAGTGCTCTCGGCGAAGGAGCCGAAAAGGTCTGCGCCCATGCCGGCAATGTCACCCACGTTGTCGCCCACGTTGTCCGCAATGGTGGCGGGGTTGTTGGGATCGTCCTCGTCCAGGCCGGCCACGACTTTGCCGACGAGGTCCGCACCAACATCTGCGGCCTTCGTGTAGATGCCACCACCGACGCGGCCGAACATGGCCACGGTGCTGCCGCCGAGGCCATAACCCGCTGCACAGTCGAAGAGGATCTCCCAGTCATCAGCCTCCGGATAGATGGTGCGGTAGAAGCTCAAGAGCATCCACAGGATCAGCACTCCCAGGGAGCAGAGCGCATAGCCCATGACGCTGCCACCCCGAAAGGCGGTGTTGAAGCCAAGGGTGTAGCCGCTGTAGGCACAGGCAAGAGTGGTGCGCGCATTGGAGTAAGTGGCGATCATCATGCCAAGGAAGCCGCAAAGCATCGATGTGAAGGCTCCTGTGAGGAAGGCTCCCGCGGTCAGGTGTCCCTGCAACGTGTCCTTCGTGCCCCAAGAAACCAAAGCACTAATAAGGAAAGCGAAGACGACGCAGAAGGCGGCACAAATGGCATACTCCACCTTGAGGAACTGAATTGCGCCCGTCATGATCTTTTCGTAGATCTCGGGTACCAACTTCGCTGCTTGCTCACTGCCACCTGCTGTGAGCCCTGTGCTGAGGCTGTCCTTCCCATCCGGCGTGAGCTTGATGCGCCTGGAACAAAAGAAACCGCTAAGGAATGACGTGTTGCCCACCTCCATGTACACACACACACACTCACTCACTCACTCACTCTCTCTCTCTCTCTCTATATATATATATATAACACATGTCTATGCTACCCTTGGGCCTGCCCTTCATGATCTAAGAAATCCGTTCATGTTGCTGTTCTGCAAACATACATGCATAAACAACAGTACTGCAAGCAGGAGTACATGTTGCTAGACACCTCCCCTGTGCGAAGCCCCGGATAAAGGTCCCCAAGCGAATCCTGATGACCAAGAACTGCGCAACGGCCGCCACCAGCCCAAGCAGACAGCAGGGAACTATGATTTGATCGATGAGTTCCATGGCTGAAGCAGCTTTCTGTGCGAAGGTGTCGATGCTTTCGCTCGTGAGCCAAAACTTAAAGAGCAAAAGAAACAAGAAATTTTGCCAATTCTCACACCTGGAAGGCACAAGAATGCAATGACTCTATATGGCTTTGGTATGTGTGAAACCCAAGTTCCAGATTAAACTGCGCAACCCATGCGTAGTTCTGAAACTGGAAATTGGCAGTCCCAGTTCTGCAGGAGTGACTTGCTCTTCTTCGGGACAGCCAAGCATGCTTGCTCAAGCTTGGAAGGAACTCCCGTACAAGAAGGTCTCATCTAGATTCGATACCGAGAGATCGATTCGGCCAGTCGGCCCTTCCCTCTGCTTTCGTCTGTATGCGAAAAAGTTTGCTCAGAACAGGACAGGGCCAAGGTATGTTACGTGGTCGTCGCAACCGTTCAACACGATCCAGGCGTTTTGACTCTTAGGCTTAGGCTGGCAGCATGCAACCGACTGTTTTCAGAAAAGCGCCAGGACCCCAGGACCGAGACCACCAACAAACCAGGGCCAAAGTGCTTTGCCCCGCATGGCGATTCTGGCTAAAAGTACTGGCGCCAAGTATGTCCCCAGTGCCAAGTATTGTGCAATCCTCAAGTCGGCCAAAGTCTTGGCCCCAAGTAGAGATTGAAGGACATTCAGACACGTGGCCAGAATGCTTTCTCTCAAATGCTGGCGAATTCAAGACCGCAACTTGTCCCCACGTATCGGCACGAATCAGGAGCACGGCGCCTATGCTCCCCCGTATACCTCCGGGATTCCGGAGAACTGCCGAAGTCCTCTTTCCCAACAATACTGCTTTGCTTGGGTAGCTTTCCGAGACAAACAAAGACCTGCGTGTTGTAATTCTCAATGAAGAACCTGGGTATCCACAGGATGCTGCTGCACGGTTTCTCTCGAAATCACGGACGCGAACGCAAAGTGCAAACTGTTTGGGGAACAGTCTCCTGCATGCACTGAAAATCCGCAATCACTTCCCGAATCTTTCAACCACACACCGTCTGCGAAGTGTATGTGCAGACTTGTTGTGCTTCTACTCTTCCCCGCCCCTACAATACCCGAAACTCAACCCACACTCCCAAACTTCTGAACCTTGTGACCCTTGCAACCCCTTAGGCTTTGGTTAGCACACTTTAAACCTGCAACTCGGAATCGTGAATCTCTAAAGCCTTAGCCAAGAGATCCCGAGGACAGCGTCTTTCGACTCTCGGCGGGCAGCGAATCCATCGCGTTGCAGGCGTGCATGGGGATTGTTCTGAACGTTTTCCTATGCGGAGCTTTTCTATACCCTATATGTACAGAGGAAACAATCCGAACTCTGCAATCACCCCTCATGACTCGAAGTTGCTTTGTCAAAGGGTACACTCCTCTAAACCCCTTGAAAGCCCTCATATCGCGCAATCCCCCGAGCCCGAGCACATGGACGAATTACTCCGCATCTTCTGCGGAGGCCGTCAGAAGGGGCGAGGAGTGCAAAGGCGACGGGGCTGGCGCCGCGCCGCCACCTGAAAGGATGCTTTCTGTTTTGGAGCCGGGGTGTCGGTTTCCGGGTTGGGTTCCCGCTGGAGGCTTTATATGCTTCGGGTTGGGTTTGAGGAATTGATGGAGATTTAGAACCCGGATTGACGCCACCCATCCCATGAAAAGAATGAGAATAGGCATCCGACAGTAAGAAAAAGAACGGTTCTCAATCAGAGATCTCCATTATGTCAAGGGGTTGGCCAAAAGCTTCTGTTCAAGGTGCCGCCCTACGAGTCCTACATGATTAGTTTTTGCCAGGTTCATGGGATGCACACTAGCATAATCAAAAGGGGGCAAAGGTGGTACCACGACGAATTATTCAGACCTCTGCACTACTTATTAAAGGGATGAAGGAGAAACGGCTTTTTTCGTAGGGTCGCGCAGCCGGCTACGAGTACAAGCATTTCCAGGTCTGCTCTGCAGCATTCCATGGCTACAAGGTGAGCTTCCTCCCGTTGAGCTCACTTTCAAGAAGCAGTATTGCAATCTCAAAGGCTTAGGATGTTGAGTAGTTCGAGGGCTTGTAGGCTCAGTTGTAACTTTGGACAACGGCTGTGGTTTTCGGAGCATAGGGTAGTTGTCTCGAAACAGGCCCGAAACCCCACTCACACTTATGGTTCGTGGGCGAAGCGCAGAATTTCATTCCATTTCCCTGCCTGGCGAAGAAACGACCTAGCTTAGGAGAGCTTCTGGAAGCTATAGACTACAGGCCCGAACGTACTGGAACCGAGGTAGAGCTTGAAATTCCCAACTACTCCTCTTTCTGCATTCCGACGGCCTTCAACATCTGCGTCGCTCGAAGGAGGTGGCCGGATCCTTCCAAGAGGCCCAGGGCTTTGGGGATTCAGTCCGCTTAGGCTTTGCGGTGTTCAAAACTCGTGACCATTAATCGTGTTCCCATACTTCCATACCTTAAAGCATTTCGACCCGAAGCTTTTAGATCCTGAATGCGAGTAAGCTACTTTCACCAGGCTTGAGCGTGAGACTTACCATCCATTGAGCCAAGGTGCACCGGGCTTCTGGCATCCTCCCCTCTTTCCGACATCTCCGACATGGCGGGTTCGGCCTCAGACCAGGCTGCGGCATATGAGCTGTCGGGCGCAGATTGGAGTTCGGGTTACGAAGCTTGGTTGGGAGTGGACTTTGGGAACATAGATTTGGCGGTTTCGGATGATTCTTCGAAGTTAAGCTGAAAGCAAGTCGGCATGCCCAGGTTGCCAGTGTGGGTTGCTAGGTTTCATACCGGCATTTTTGAAGCCATAGCCAAGGGCTCCAATTCCGAGCTGCTGTATGTAGGTTGCATAAGATCGGCATCTTTGGAGGTCCCATACCGTGTTTTTTGACTAAATCTTGAAAATCGAGTTTCGCGTTTCTTTCAGGAGCTGCGTGGCATTAAAGCACCTCTATAGGCGATCAGAAGCTTGCAGCTGCAGAGGATCAGACTTTGCCAAAGGTTTCTGATTGTTGAGATGCAGTAACCAGCTTGGGCTCTGGCGGTTGGTATCTGGGAGTTTCCGAGAATGGGGGGGTCCTTATTTTGGGGACCTTCTAATAAGGACACTACATTAGGGTCCTCTGGTATCCCTAAGCGGAGCCTGGCTTTTCTGTCGAAAGTCGCGGCAACAAACATTGCCACTTGTGACAATCAAGAGCCTAATAAAAGCATGGAAGGGCACATGGTACCCTATAGTCCTCCATAAATGTCTGGCTCCTAAACCCACGCCTCCGAGCCTCTGAAGGCTGCGTGCCTGCAACATCCAAGCCTCGAAGTCGAATTATAAGCCGGCAGAAATGCGGCTCCTGCGAGCCTCTCAACCTCCAAGCCTCCAAGGCTACAGGCCTCGAAGCGCCGCATATCTCGCCCGAATGTCAAATGCAGGAAAGGAGCTCTTGGACGCTACGTCTTCATGCGCCGAGGTGACTTTAAATGCTTGTGTAGGTGGTTCGAGGCCCTTCTACGAGATGGTCGATGCTGGCGAGACCCGTCCTCCCCTCGATGGAACTTTGGCTCAGCTCCCAGCTAGCTCTGTATCAGCACGCCCGGCCACAGGGGAGAACTCGCTGCGTTCCTCGGCATGGGTCTCTTGGTGAGACATGATTCGGTGCCTGTTTTTGATACCCGCACTACCAAGAGAGGTGTTTGCAAAATAAGCTTCTGCGAGCCTACGCGCTCCACCAACGGTGATTGCAGTTCAACATGAGAGGCTTGCAGACGTGCTTTTTCAGTGCGGCATCGATCTACGGTCTATGGTCCACGGATCCTTGTCAAAGCTCTCTGACAAAGTACTCCGTTGCCACGGCTGGAGCCCGCAAAGAGGCCTGAATCTTGTCGTCAAAATTGATGGCGAAGATGTTTTTTGCCTGCTCTGCGTCTTCACTATTTGGCTCTGGATAATCATCACCGTCCTCGGCAAGCAAGAGGTAGTAGTCCCATGGCCCGTGGCAGTCACGCCCCAGCTTCGTGTGATCTACAGTGCGTGCATAAGAGAAGCCTCCTCCGTACGCAGTGTCCAGAGCACCCGCATAATCATCTCGCATAGTGTCCAGCATCCCTTCAGGCCGTGCGCACACTGAGTGTCCATTGTTCACAAGCCTCTCGTTTTCCAAAAACTAAGGGGACACAAGATCCAACACACTGCAGACTTTGTACAAGAGCTTAATGAAACGAGCAAAAAGATTCTGCTTGTCGAGTGAGTAGCCCGTTGACTAGCACGAACTGCCCGTATCCTACCTCCGGAGCTCTCGAATGCACTAGCACCTTTTGCATAACTTTCTGAGGCACGACCTTGGAAGCGGTGCTGGTGGTCAGGAGATTCTGCGCTGCATACTCCATCAATTGATTGCGAAGCGTCATGTATGCTTTCATGTCAAACTGCTCCAGGTTCACTTGAGGCACCTGCCCCTTAGCCATCGATTCCTTAACTTCTGCTTGTGACGGAACTCCTGGAAGTGCCATTGCACTGGCGACCAGCGCCCTGGGGAAACTTGTCATTGTACGATTTGGCATATCCTCCAGGCCGATGAAGAAGGGAATGCTGCCCGACATGATTATCTCGTAGTGGCGAAAACAATCCCAACCCATCTTTCGCATCGTGATGCCAAAAAGACCCTTGCTGTACTGCGTGTAATACGCGTACTCCGTGTTGTAGATGTATGTTCTTGTGTTGCCAGGAATCAGGGGGGCAAACATGGTCGTCTTCGCGCCATCACGGCGCAAGCTGCTGGTGTTCCTCCACTTCTCTGGCGCGATGCCGAACGATATACTGTGGCTCGCCTCTTAAGAGAAGACTCTTATGAGCTATGCACAACGACTCCTTCAACAGGGGACCTTATAGTTTTGGAAAATTAGGAACCAAGCTCTGGAAATCCTTACTACTTTGACAAGACACACACGCCTAGCTGATTGGGTGGCGCTGAATGGACAAGACTACATATACACATGAGGGCCGAGTCCCAGCAGTTTACCATCCGCGCGGAACGAGGACCTATGTGAACCCGTGCTGGCCACTGCGTGAAGACATCCCAATAAAGAACGAACTTTGCGTTCTCTAAAATTCTCTTGGATTTCAAAGAATTATGAACGGCATAGACAGTACAGACTGCCAAACTCACTGCAGCAGTCGAAAGTAAACACCGAGTATGCGAGTATTCCGTAAGATACGCTTCTCTTCGCATGTGGTTTAAACGTCAAGCAACATGTGGTTTAAACGTCAAGCAACATGCTGTAACCCATGGCTGA